CCAGGAGAAGTAACAGCACAAATCTTTTTTGCCAGTGAATGATTGACGTCAGACCGTTCGCACTAGACCGACAAAGATTGTCCGAGTCATTTTCATTCATGACAAAAATTGGCTTTGACAAAAAATCGTTTGACCTGTTGTGTTCGCACTACAAGATACCAAAATCTGCAAAATCTGATCCGTAAGAAGTATATGTCAATCAAAATGTAACACTACATGACGTGTATCATCATCTCTCTATTTTTCTTCCTCGTTTTTTGAAAGATATGATTTGTATGCCGCAACATTTTATGATGCTGCTTTGTCTTTTGAGAGTCCAGCAACTTCAAAATCAAATTGTGCTCCGAATAAATAATGGAAGACGGCGACGAAGATTTCAGCCGCATTAGCTGAGCCTTTGCCTTTCCCCTAGTTTTCTTTTCCTTTGCCTTTTTTGCCTTATTTGCTTGTGTCACTGATTGAAAAATTGTAGTTATCTCGGACGCCGATAGTTTGCGCGCCATTTCTATCTGACTTAATGTTTTGTTGGCTATTAACGAGTTGAGATGGATCCATTTGCGATCCGTAGTAGCGCCAAATGCATATGATTCTGTTAGGGATCAAAAAAATCTGACAGTTTTGACGTTTGACAAAATTTTGTCCTGCTTCGAAGCAGGCCGACGGCGTCTTTGAAATTTGGTAAAGCGAGACAAATTTTGGTAAGATAAAAAAATTGCGTTTGCACTAGGAAACGGCCGATGTTGACAGATTTTTTTGCAAAACAAACATAAATTTAGCCTAGTGCGAACGGGCCCTTATTCAGAAGGGCATTATATGTTAGATTTCTTTCAAAGCCGTTAAAATGCCTTGCAAATTACCCACAGTGATTTTTTGGCCCCAGCTGCTAAGGCGACGGCTAAAGAAATTCAGTGGAGAACACAGAAAAAGAACAAACCATTGCACCTTGTAAGCAGGGTACAGTAATCATTTAATGGTGCAATGAATCATAATTAGCCTAATGACATCGGAGAAGACTGCCATATTATCCCATGATCATCAGTGTTATTATATATGTACGCTCTCATTTATATTTATTGATTTATATTTGAGGAAATTAATTATGCTCAGAAATCATAGAAACTATAATTGGATGCTCAGATAAAGGGTAGTCTCGACTCTCGACCTGGTACTCTCGACTCTCGACTCTCGACTTGGCACTCTCGACTCTCGACTCTCGACCAAAACAGAAACTCCTACGATTTCAAACTCACGTCCCATCATGTGAGCCGATACAAATTATGTCTCAAAAAACGGTTTTTGGATCTTTTCTCAAAATAATGACTGTCTAGGCAAAAAAACATAAGTGGATTCAGTTAATTCAACTATTCACGGACTGTATTTTATGGTTTAGATTGAATTCTATTGGAAAAAACCATCGTACTTTTTGAGTTGAATGTACGCTGTTGGATGTATTTTACAAGAGAAAAAGCATGACATAACCGGGGTCAAGCTAGAAAATCGTCTCTCCTTGAAATAAAACAAAACCTGTCAAAAAAACAGAAGTGGATTTGAAAACCTCGGGCTTTCCTGAACATTTTGGTATATAATTCATAGAAATTCGTTAAAATTCAGAACCGTATTTTTGCTGATTTTATAAGCTCATACTATCTGTTGGTTATAGATTCGCCTCTCAGTATGGTTTCTTAGGTTTCGTAGCCTTGAAAACACGCTAACTACGGTAGTTAGCGAAAGGACAGAAGATTTACGGGTCATTTAGGATGTTTTGTCACGCAGTTTACTTGTGCTATATAACTTTACTTTTAAGCACAACCTATTGCTTTGGAAAGAGGGGAAAAGGACCGAAAAGAGCAAATATTCCAAATGTATGGGCATTTTTTTCCATTGTATAATTGGATGTGTTTATCGTCACCCACGTGATAATTTTAAAGAATTCTCGACACAGCTTAAGCAAGTACTATCAAACTATTTAATTCCAAAAAAACATGTTGTTTATATCATGGGAGATTTTAACATTGATCCCCTTCAATATGGAACTCACAATAGGTAAAAATGTTATTCAGTAATGAGTGGTTATCCTATCATTACTAAACCTACAAGAATAAACTCTCACTCACCTCTAACTCTTATTGATTATATTTACACTAATTCATTTGACTTCGACCTTACAGCAGGGATTTTGGCACTTGATAATATATATATTTAGGCACTGCCTAAAAGCGGAGCTCCTGATACGAAAGTCACAGGGAGCCCAATTTGAATGAAACTGAAAGGTAAAAATAAGATCGGGAAAAAATCGTCAATTATTTTTTATTCGAGATGAAGATAATGTCTCCCATAATAAAAACCATGCAGTGAAATCGAATTGAAATGCACTACATTGTTTTCTTTGCGCGAGTATACTCTCCCACTTAGGAATTTTGTACACAATTCACCATCACCCCCATGGGCTAGTTTTGTTCTTGGAAGATTCTTCGACATAGCCGACATTTTTACTAGGCTATTTTTACTAGATAAAAGATAATTACAGATAATCCAATACAATATCAGGTTTAGTGAAATTTACCTCGGATGTCTTTCATTGAAATCGAAAATCTGGAGATTTAGGACACATCAAGACTAAAAAAACAGATAGACTTGAAAACTGGTTAAGGTGAACAAAAAAAAAAGCTTACTTCGGTCTCTTACATAACGATGTTTGGTTTTCCATAGAAATTTTGATGTTTTTATATTAAATATATTTTTACCGCAATGAAAATAAAAAACAAATGCTTTGGTATCATCAGATAGAAAATTGGCTGGAGATCATCAACTAACTAAACTAGAGAAATAAAGGCCCTGAACGTTAAAACCAAATGTAACATCAGTTAAAAAAAAGCCCTTTCTTAAAATTCTAATACCTTATCAAAATATTTTTTTCCTTTCACATAAGCCTTAACTACTTTTCAAGAAGCTTGAAAACTTAAGCTTTCTAGATTTTGAGATTCGATTTACCAGTTTTCATCTGTCTTCATGTGTGAGAAAGATACGAAAATCACGAACGACAAAGGTTTTCGAAAAACAAAGTTTACGTTCAGTTATTAAACTTGACAAGAATTGCACAGAATTACTTGTACTTGCAAGATCCAATCAGTATAAATCTTTCGAAGATATCACATTTTTTCTGAAACTTTGTTTGCAAATATATGCTTCGCGAATTTGTCTAAGTTCCTTCTGAGAAAATTAGTCTTATCTGCAAGTTCATCTATAATGATTTTCAAGGGGGAAATACATATGATATATGCAATCATTATTCGTCTGTACAACTTATATATGAATATAAGAAATCTTTGGTTTAAATTGTGGAGGTGCTCTCGAATTTATATAACATTTGGCTTTCCTCGGCATAGTATATAAAGCAAAAAATCAAATCTCTTTCAGCTCTTTCATGATAATAAGAGTGATGAAAGTAATTCAGTAGGTACAGAAATTCAGTAAGTACAGAAATTCAGTAAGTACAGAAATTCGTGGAATTTATGGAATTTCTGCACTTTTCAGCTATTTCAGCTCTTTCAGCTTTCAGCTTTCCGCTGTTTCCGTTTCAGCTTTTTACCGCAAACCATATAAATAAATTATCTGTAGAAAGATATAAAATTTTTGAATGAAAGTCTTCAGCTTGGTTTTGCCGATGGGACAAAGAAAGCTGCATTTTTCTTAAAAAAAACATACGATAGTTGGTTAAAAACAACCGAATTATTAAAGATTTACAAAGTTAAATAAAGGACAAATATTTGTTGTAATATGCTCTTCGTGCATATTTCCTCCAGCATTAAAATAAATTAAGGTTATCTATAGAAATATTAAAAGTTTGAGAGAAAGTCTTTGATTTGTCGATTCGTCGAAAAAAATGCTTGTCATAAAAAATAATAATATTACGCATTGTTTTCTAAAAAAAAAAAACACCTGAATTCTTAAAGAACACTTCTTTATCTTTGACTACATGTAAGTTGTTTTTATTTGTTTTTGGTCTATAATTTGTCCAAAAGCTATTTTTTCTGTGCATTTGAGAGCCGCATTTGCGAATAGTTTTGCTTTGACATCAAGTGGGATTCCTGTGTTGTGTACACGGACGCCCGTACGTACGTCGGACGGACGGACGGACGGACGGACGGACGGAAGTGACGCCAGCCAAGCCATGAAAACATAATCAACTCGGTGGTTTACCATTTTTTCTTAAGTATGGTGCTCCGCTCGCGCAGGCCTTCGGTCCGCGCGGGAGCTCCGCTACTAGCAAAGCAAAGGAAAAGCTGGCTGAGAAGGAAATCTTTTGAATAGTTTGTAATATACTAATATTTATAAAGGTGTCCGGATAATTTTTTTATTGTGCTTGTACAACATTTTTATTTTTTTATTTTTTTTAATTTTTTATTTGAACTTTGTAAACTAAAAAAGTGTTTTAATTCAAACCAAATTGAAAATATCGAATGGGTATGATTAACAGAAAAAAAACATGGAAAGTGCTTTCAACAGATTAATTAAAGAGTTGCGGTGTCATAAAACGAACGAGCAATTCTTCCGCGCGCACTTTCCATAAAGTAGTCTCTCATTATCTAAAAATATGTACAGCTATAGTTCATGTAAAATTCGTATCACAAAATCGCTGTGCCGTCCGTCATCCACTGTCCATGATTCCAGGTTTTAGTACATGTCCCAACAAACTGGACTGTCAAAAGTGTCACAAGATCGATGCATGATCTAACGTTTCTTCATCTCTTGAGAAAGCAGCGGGACCTTCACCTTGGGTAAAAATTATATCCAGAAAGCTTGAATTACGATTTCAATATATTCGTGACATTAATGGATTTGGATGTTTCTTTTCCATCCCTTTAAAGCAAACATATGAGAAAAATTTGCTGAGGACATCACTGATTAAGTATGAAACCTGTTCAAAATTAGAAACAGGAGGCATGTACTAACACGTTTATGTAAGTGATCCGCAAGTTTGGAGAGACTGATAAGTAATTCAAAACGCCTTCTAAGGAAGCCAATATTATGTTACAGTACATCTGTCAGCCCGATTTTATGCGACAGCCCGAGAGCTTCTGAACTGGTAACGTTTAGTGATACTGAACGTACAGCAAAGCTTTTTATTTCGTTATTCAAGATGTTGGGTTTTGTTGCCGTTTTGCTTCTAACATGTCTTGCCAGAGGATGGTGTGAGAAATGTAATGACCTGGATGGCTTTTGGTACAACCAGATTGGTTCCGAAATCTTTCTCAGACATTCAAGCGATGGAAAATTGATCGGTGAATATCGAAGTGCCGTGGAACGTTTTGAACATCCTGATGGAAAAAAACACTCGACAATTTCAGGTAGGCCCGGCTTTTGTGTTTTATGGAATCCGAATTCCACAAAAATAAATGCAGTTTCGATAAAACGCAATCGAATCAAAACTGATTATCTCCCATTAGAAGAAGCTAAACAGCTTTCAGTTTTAATAACATGCACGTCAGAACATAAGAAAAATGGTTTAAATGGTCAAAATCTGTAAAATTTTCTCCAAACACGACAAAACTTCCATGTTAAAGCATGTTTTTACCAGCCTACCGTTGGTAAAGCGATTGAAATTTAATCCTCCATTCTGCTTGACTGTTTGTGACAACCAGTCGTAAAATAAGGCAGCAGCATTTTAATGGGCTATCAAGTAGCACAATAGCTAGTAATTTAGGCCCGGGTCGCACTAGGCAAAGTTTGATAGAATTTGGTGTTTTAATCCGACAAAACCTGTCATCACGAGTCCATTTCTAGTGCCACCGTAAATTTGACCGTCCATCAAAATTTTGCCAACAAACCAAAATGTCAAAGGCGCCGTCGAACAGGGTAGAAACTGAACTTTTTGGCCAAAATTTCTCCAAACAAAAGAAATCACAGCGGGAACTATCATCGCTTGTCATCTGACAGAAAAACAGAACCCTGATATCTTATAAGCTAGAGCGGAACTCAATAGAATGTTAAATATATCCCTGTTAAGTCGTACTTGCTTACGAAAATCATCTTGAGGGATTTTCGGATCGTTATAGTGCATTTCAAACAATGAATTTATTGGACGAGGAGCTCTCCAGGCGTATGGATTGCAGCGGTGTAATCTTCGACGAACACGACTTCTCTCTCTTGTGGGTTTGGGGAAAAACCGGGGTTTTGGGGGAACTTTGGAACGAGAAAAAAGAAGCGAAGGGGAAGGGGCGGAAAGGGGAAAAAGGGAACGCCTGCCAGCAGCCTTTGTTATTTTGATAAACGCCTACTAATTAGATATGCGTGATCGAAACTCTAGCTGTCAAAAAGTAACCAATCACGATTGAAGATTAATTTAACGGAAGTGAAAGACCACTTTCTGATATAAACAATCAAAGGTCAAAACATTCAAAAATTTTATAGCTTTTCTATTACCGCTGGCTAGCGCGAATGAAAATTATCGATTTTGCCATTGCTGTTTTAAAGTAAATTTCTGAGTTCCAAGTAACCCAGGAAAACAGGGATATCTGTCATTTGAAAATTTGTTCAAGCCTTCTAGAAGAAAAGATTCTCTGCGGATTGTCCTTTCCGATATTTGAGATGAATATAAGAAAATAAGAAAGTTAGGCCAACTGTATAAACATCGTCAAAAGTAAAGCCGTTCGAACTTCTACCCCATCCAAGACTAAGGAAGAAGGCAAAGGATTACTGGATATTTAAATAAAATAAATCGAGCCCCTTGAGGAGAAGATTGATCTAAGACAACAAAGGTAACGTGTTCGAAGTCGTCGCGCGCAAAGAAGTCGCTCAGCTACCAATATACCGTCGAGGGAGGGAAGGTACAATCGCTGGACCCCTCATATGGACCCCTTATGGACCCTTGTATTTCGATTAGCACCACAATATAATCGTTTCTATATGATTATGTAGCGTATATTATCATACTATCTGGGTATGTTCCTTTTTTGAGCAAAAATTACAAACAGGATACAGCTTTGTTTCGTTCATTGACAACGAAAAAATCCCCCAAAAAAATCCAATTAGACTTATCGGTCGACTAGAATTACAGAGTTTTGACAGCACTTCCCTAAACGTCAAAGCCCCAATAATATTAATTTTCTGTAACACTAACATTTAGTAGTTAGCGTGTTTTCGAGGCTACGAAACCTAAGAAACCATAAGTGGCGAATGTATAGGCCAACAGATACTATGAGCTTATAAAATCAGCAAAAATACGGTTCTAAATTTTAACAAATTCCTATGAATTATATACCAAAATGTTCAGAAAAGGCCGGGGTTTTCAAATCCACTTCTGTTTTTTTGACAGGTTTTGTTTTATTTCAAGGAGAGACGATTTTCTAGCTTGACCCCGGTTATGTCATGCATTTTCTGTTGTAAATTACATCCAACAACGTAAATTCAACTCAAAAAGTACGGTGGTTTTTTCCAATAGAATTCAATCTAAACCATAAAATACAGTCCGTAAATAGTTGAATTAACTGAATCCACTTATGTTTTTTGCCTAGATAGTCATTATTTTGAGAAAAGATCCAAAAACCGTGTTTTTGAGACATCATTTGTATGGGGTCACATGAGGGGGCGTGAGCTTGAAATCATAGCTGACCAAATGTTAACAGATTTTTTCTGATGTAAAGCACATTGCCTACACGAATTGGAATGCGGCTTCCAAAGGTATTCTTCGACACCCTGGAATGCAAGATGATTCGAATACCTCAAAACGAAAACCGCCACTGGATTCAAATCTAAATCTACACTCTTCAGTGTCGTCCACCTTATCACGGGACAGGCCTGATGGCTAGTCCAAACGCACTATCGGTATATGAGAGTCTCCTTTTAACTCCTGGCGTCTTCGTTGTTTTTAGCTTGTTCAGTCGTACTGAAAACCATCCTGATTTGACCTTTTTCATTGTTCTTTTACATCAATCTTTAAGTTTAATGTTTATTTCGTCTATGAAGAATACATGATAGGTTAATTTCAACTTTTTTCTGATTTTAAAGACATTTTCTAGTCGGAAACTAAACATTTTTCGCTAGCATTGAAGTCACTACAACTCTGACCAGTCAGCAATCGCATGGTAAAAATAGTTTAGGCTTGAGCGCGGAACTAAAAATAGATTAGAGACTCATGTATGGGGAGATGTGCTCTCTTACTTAATATTCTCTTGGTCAAGTTAGTTGTTATCAGTGTAATTTTAGATGGAGCCTATTAAAACTTAGTGACGTCAGTAACGCAACGCTGTTTTCTCCGGTTACAAAACCGCATATGTATAGTTTTATTAATCGAGTGTCATTCCGCTTCACTGGTTAAAAGATACAAAAGCGGTACATTGTTATTCATAAAAACACATTTAAAAGGTGTACACTTTTGAATAAATTTTGATGTGAGAAGAAATAAGTTCTGAATGAAAAATACATCTAAAATGTTTTAAAGTACCCCTTCCTCCCAAATACCGGTACATAACAAAGATATCCAAGGTAAATTTCACTAAACTTGTAATATTAACCAGGAATTCAAAGCGTAAAAATGTCAGCCATGCAAAACTTTTATCGAAGAATTTTTCAAGAACAAAACTAACCCATGGGGTGGTTGGTGGTGGGTTGTGTACATGGGACAAAATTCCGCCTAAGTGGGAGAACAGTAAGGTTGAAAACAAAGACTCGAGCGAAGAAAACGATGTAGTGCATTTCGATTTCATTTTCTCACTTCATGGCTTTCATTTTGGGGGACACTATCTTCATCTCGAAGAAGAAGAAAGATTTTCCCCCCGATTTTATTTTCATCTTTCAGTTTTATCTAAAATGGGCTCCCTGTGCTTATTGGGAGCTCCGCTTTTGAGCAGTGCCTAAATTTTTATATAAACTTTGGACACTATCCTAGAAAGCAACTCGACCTGACATTCGCGATCCATGTATTTCATAAAATGGCGCCGTATGATGGATATCTTTGTTGTCTTTTACATTAGAAGAACAAAACAATAAGTAACAAAAAAGCGAAAATCGTTTTGGGATGATGGGAAATGACGTTCGCGGACATTTTTCGTCCGCATCTTTTCTACACATGAGTTTAGTGAGCGAACGCTTATCGTGATGACGTCATCCAATGTTTTCATGGGCAAAATATACAGAAACCTCTTCAACTCATATCTCTTCAAAACTATGGTTACCCCCTTTTTATATCATATAGTTAGAGGAATGCCTAAGATGTGCATTTCTCAGGTTTTTTTTGATGACATTTATTTATTTATTACACCGAAACGTGACATTTTCTGCTTCATCTGGACCCACAAGAACGACAAAAAGCAACAGCGCTCTTTGTCTGTGATGTAATTTTTTTCCCCCTCAACAAAGAGTGTTAGCTTTAATGCCTCCTAGAAAAGAACCGTTTTGAAAACAGATTGTTAGTTAAAACTACATTATAATACCTTTTTACCCTGTAAGTTGCATTTTTATAAGCGGAATTATTTTTTTTTTACCACTTGACTACTCGTCGCGTAGATCGCGATAGGCGCCTTAATGGTCGATTTCTAATTCATTTTGCTCGCAGGATTGCACGGTGACACCCTATTTTTTGGGCTTATGTTATGTGTTTTACGTTGCTTTATCAACTTGCGAAGTTTCAGAAAATTTACATTTACATACTAAAATATTAAGTGAAATGCATAATTAATTAAATATTTGTTGATTTCGTGTGTTTTCTCTCCAACCCTTTGTCCCATAAAACTATTTCTTATAGAATCTCTTACATTATAAAACCTGATTTAAATATATATTTTATGTTTTACATATATTTAAATAAATTGTAATTGTAAACAGGTGCCGCTCCATATAACTCTCCAGGGGCCACTTTCTCATTTGCTGTCGTTCAGTCCAGTGGATCATCCACACAAGTATGGACCGGTCAATGTCTTGTATGTGAAGATGGAAAAGAAAAGCTGCTAACTTCCTGGTTAAAACTGCCAGAGGTAAAGGCTCGTGATGATACATCACAAACGACATTGATTGGCCAAGATTCATTTACACGATCAGAACAAAGATCAGAGTCTACTGCGATGGATAACAAAATTCCTTATATACCAAGTTTTAATAGTTTAAACTTAGGCTTCCTTCACACAAACATCACATCAGGTAAGCCATGTGACATAACCGGAACTTGGTATAACGAGCTAGGTTCTGAAGTGATACTAAACCAATATGCTAATGGCGTCATTGTTGGAGAGTATCGTACTGCTGTGGAACGCAAAAAAGGCTCAGCAGGAGAAAGCCATTCTAAAGTGTATGGCATAAGTACACCCGGCAATCCCAACAGCACGTTCGCCATTATGGTAGTGTGGCGTGGTGGAGCATCTGTTACCGGTTGGGTTGGGCAATGCCATATTTGTGGGGAGAACAAAACTGAAATAATCGAGACCACCTGGTTGTTAAGAAGTAAGCTCGAGAAATGTGGTGACAACTGGAAATCGACCATGTATGGCGAAAACAGCTTTACACGCGAAGAACAGAAAGAGGGGCCAAGGAAACATCTGGGAACCCATACACCGGATCGAGATGGAGAGGACGCTGACCATTCTGGCGAAACCAACTCGATTAATGAATAGTAATTTGGTAGATTGTAACTTTGATTTTCATCCTTATAGCCGGAAAGCTAAAGGCAATTATAAAATTCCTTTAACATGTCATGTCTTAAACTTCTTTACTAGATTAATCCAGTTTTATTTTCAAAGTTTCTTATCTAACTGTAATGTCTAAGCATTTCTATTCGCTCTGGTATTAGATGAGCCAGTTTTTAATAAGTTGGGTTTTCAAGTGTTTTTTTATCAAATTTTTTATTGTCAAATTCTTTCAGCTTGTAGTGATAGTCAAGTATTTTCAATTTCCAAACAGTTTCAGCGCTCAGAATAGGCGGTTAAGCAGGGCAAGCAGTGTGACAAATTTTCTTTCTTCGATTTTTCTTAATTGTAAAGTGCCAATACGATCAAATTTCTGACTTGCTGTTATTTGACTGGATTGAACAACCTTTGATAGTGAAATGAAATTCCGCTTTCCTTTTTCAAATATCTTTTTTTTCTTTTAAAGGTATTGGAGTTTAAAAATGGCGGTCATTTTTCCTGATGAAGTCATATTCTCAATATTTAAGCAGAGTAAAATTATGATAAGTTATATCTCATCCCAATTTCGATCAAAATCATCCAAATTTAGTAGTATTATGCTGCCCTAACTGTTCTTCAAAATTAACTCCATAGATACGTTGTCATAGCAGTAGTCTCGGTTTCAGGCTACCCGAACTTAAAATTCAAGATTTTTAAAATTTCTACCTTTAAGAGAGATCGTATCGAATGAGCCTAGGTATAAAATATATAATATGATCATAGACAGAAATTTAGTTTAATAATTTTCTTTTCAAGTTAAAAAAATAACAAAGCAATCGCTTAAAGGCTAAAGTCGTTGATAGGGGACTGGACACCAGTGAGTTGCTATAGCAAACCAAAGTTTGGGCATACTGCAAAGTTTGAATGACATTCATCAAAAAATCTCAGAGATATAATGAAGTTTATGCCGAAGGAAACTGTGAGTTGAGAGTATGACATCATCAACATCCTAATTAAGACAAACTTAAAACTTGAATATCTCTCGATCCAAAAAAAGCTAACAAGAAATGAAGAAATGGTTATCCATAATTGCTAAATTGGTTACTGACGCAGGACCCTCGAAGTATGATGCCAATTTAGCAAATTCCCGCTTGTAGGAGCCATTACTTAAAATGAAAAAGGCAAGAGTGGGGGAATATTTTAATTTGGCCCTTCCCACACATTTGTTCCCACACAAATAAATTAAAGTGACTATATATTTCCGAGAACCGAATAACTTAATTAATGTAGTCTAGTTAATTCTAAAAGTTTATATTTTTTAATTGTTCATTTGTTTTTTAAATAAAAAATGCTCTGACTAGGTGATTGATTTCAGTATCAATGATTGATATCGTCTCAACTGAACATTCACAGCCTTTTCTTCCACGGCTTCACTCGCGGCTTTTCTTTGTCTAATAGATGTCGGTGCTTGCTGGCTATTCCCTCTACTTTCTAAACGAGTTTCAGATGAAATTTGTGAAAACAGTACGAAATAGACCTTTATATTTTGTTTTAACATCATTTTTGAAACTCGCGCAAGCTAACTGAATAGGTGACAACAACGATCTTACTCAAAACTCTGCTTTTTGGATGTGTGGTACATAGTACCACTTCTGTATAAATTATCCAAAACGCTAATTTATTCATGATTTTTTTTAAAGTTGAATTCAGAACGAATGAGGGGGCCTCTCAGTTTTCTAAAATCCTTGTTTAATCACCATTCTGATGGGTTGATACTTTTTCAGCCGTTATATATTGTTTTGGAAATGTATAAAGACCCCAGCGTTCTACTCAAATCCTTCATTCAGTTCGCATGTGGTTGATCTACTGTTGAGTATTTATTGCAAGAAATTAATGATCTAATAAACTTATGAACTTTTCTTCTACAACGATAAGATACCATAGAAACTGAGTCCAATAGATGTAGCGATGAATCGTATTAACTCTACAAGAATGATAAAAAAGTAAAATATACACCGTGAAAAGATGAAAAAACTTACTGACGTTTCGAACGCTAGTCCTTCGTCCTTGCTCCGACGAAGGACTAGCGTCCGAAACGTCAGTAATTTTTTTCATCTTTTCACGGTGTATATTTTACCTTTTTATCGTTACTGTTTCATTAGAAACACCGACGCAGCTCACACTAGTTTTTAGCTAGTTATCTCTTCTTATAACTCTACAAAACTTGACAAGAATTAAGAATAGGCTGACTATTTTATTTACTCATTTTTCCCTTCGGAATGACAAAAGCCCAAACCGGAATTATGAGAAATGTATACTGAACTTGATATTTAAGACCCCTTGCTTAAGTAAGATTTGAAAAAGTTGTGTTTATGAATTAACGAGGCTGTGAACTATTTCAGAGCAAGGTTTTAATTGGATCGCCTTTCTTGGGTTGACAAGGTTAATCCCTTTTTCATATGTTCATTTTCGACTACGAAGTCACACAACAATAACCTTTCAACTCTTGAGTTATTCTCTATCATTCATGTTCGAATCTTAGTCTTAAAATATAGTTTTGGTGCTATCCACTTTTCAGTCATGTTTTCAGTTTTTAAAGTAATATTTCAAAAACGAGTGAGAGTATTTCATTAGGGTTTACTCATCCATCCTATTTTCCTCATAATATTCTCAATCCTAATCTTCTTCTCGGTATCCTGTATCTAGTTTAGTGTTCAGGGCACTTGGAGGTGATCCATGGGAACTTTTTTCCAAATCCCATCTTCAGCAACTGCACCAAGATACGTGTTATTGGAGTTCC